TCTTCTTTTTGTGATTAAATACATGTATTCAACCACACAAAACACGTTTATTTTGTCTGTGAAAGAATCTAGAAACGATGAATTGATTTTTTAAGGTTTAATAACAAAATTTATTAAATTAAAAATTTGATAAAATAAGAATGATACGAATGAAGCAATATAAAAAATTAACAATAAGAAAGACAATATGTATATAATTGATTTATTTTGACCTAACAACATCTGGTTCTTAATTGTTAAAGATTTTCTTCATTTCATATTATTTTTTCATTCACAAGGACTTTAAAAAATTCATTCTCCACTTTAGTCCAAACCATTAGTAATTAATGGTTTTTTCTCTCAATAATATCACACAAGCTTTCTTTTATTTCTACCCAAAATAGATTATTCTTCCATTTACATGTTAATTTTGATTCTTCTATAATATCTTCTATTTGTCGCCAATAGGTTTTCTTGACTATTAGTAGCCGTTTACATTATTTTAGCATATCAATATGTTCGCGGTACTCTGAACTGTAGATAGTATAAAATAGAAAAAATATCTATGTTATAATTAATAAATATAATATAATTGATTACAAATATTACTCACAATTTAAAAATTAGTATATTTCAAAATATCGTCAAATTAAGTGTCAGATATTCAAACAAATATTATTTATTAAATTTTAGTTGTAGCATGTCATTAAAATATTTAAGACAAATCAATCGCAACAAATAAGGTCATTTAAATAAATTAAATTAAATCAATAAAATAATACAAGCGAATCAATAATAATTATAAACATAATTTATAATTGGATTAATGATTCTTTTTAATTTTTTTTAGAATTATAACATGTTAGAGTACCTTTTATACTTTAAATTTATTTTTAATAAAAAGTTGATTTTAAAAAAATTATAAAGATAATTTATACATCTAATAATTTATTTAGATAGCAAACAAATTTTCACATTCTGAAAAATGTCACAGTCATCATCAAAGCTAAAAACCTAACAAGTCATTTCCTTTTTCCATTGAATACGTTTTTCACGAGTTTTTAATGTCTATGAATCTGATTCTTATCCATAATTCTCTATCTTTGTTTACGTTTTTATATAATCTATACATATAAATAAAATTCACAACACTTTATTATTTAATATTATAGTTATTCAATGTATAAATAATCTAATGATCATTATTATATTACATGTTAATAATACAATTAAAGGTTATCTTAGATGAATGACGTTTAACATTAATAAAAATAAACATTAAAAAGACTGTTATTAATAAAAAAAAATGTAACTATTAAAAATTTAATGTTTAAAAATATACAGTAAACGTGTATTAATTTTTTAATAATTTTCATTATTACTTACAATAAATTTAGTTTGTAAATATATTCTAGATGCACGTTAATATACTACAAATAAATTGATAAATATGATTAATAATAATTTATTTCTTAATTTTAAAGTCTAATAATTATTTTAAATAAATTTTTCTGAGTTATTTTAAATTTCAATGTTTATGTATTTTAAAGTAACCAAATGTTAATGCATAGTAAAATATTTCTTAAAATTATTTAAAAGTTAATTATACGTCAATAATTTAATGTAAATATCATTTGTTCACGTCTTTTTTTAGTTTATGCATTTAGCAACACTAGATTAAATTTTATTCACTACAAAACTGATTAAACAAAAAAATTAAAACCATACATATTATATAAGTTATAATAAATTTTATACATTAAATAAAATAAGTTACAATATTTTAGATACATGACATAAAGTTGCAAGATTAAAACAACTAACGTATAGATCTTCTAAGTGCCTTTTTTCTTTTTAAAATTGGAATTCTTTTTTCTGTGAATTTTGTTTTCCGGTTTAAGAAGCGTTTCTCATTGAATTATTCCGATCCGCTTCTCGTGGAAAAACTTATTATCAATAAACCGGTACTTGTAAAGTTTTTAAAGAAAGAGAAACACTGATTCAACATTAAATCCCAGTTTTAAAGCGTCAAGATACCATAATAAGCCAATAATATAATCACACTAATGAAGTAACAATATGTGCTACTTCAATATAATTGTCAATATTTTTTAACTATAAAAAATAAATACTTTTTTATATGCATTAACTATAAAGTCTTTTTCATACTCTTATTGATATGATCGAAACAAAAAAGAGTGATAGAGAGAAGAACACACCAAATTAACCTAGTTCAACCAATGTATTTGTAGACAGATTAAAAAATTTCTATTTATCATAATCTATGTAAACACTATTATCTTTTACACTTTTACTGGATAAAGTCAATGTATTTTTAACTTTTAAAACTTATATATATAATAATTCATAACTCTCCATTATAATCTATTAAAATAATAACAATTAAAATTCAAGAGCATAATAAGATTAGCTCATGCACAAATTCAAGACATCTCAATAATTTTCTTTCTTGAATTAAATTTTTCTAAATCATCAACAATCAAAAATAATTTTTTTTATAGTAAAAATATTTCACCATATTACTGTTTCTCCTTTTTATATTTTTGCACCTGCATCATCTATACTAGTATTTCAAATCATTCTATAAATCGACAAACCAACATCATTTATCAAAAAATAATAAACTCTCATCTTTAGTTCTCTAGATTGTATATCATCCTTTATATTATTAACTATCAGACTTCTTAACCACTAATATTTATGGTGATACAAGCGCCCTATAGTCGCTATCACCAACTATCGTTAGCAATTAAAATTAGTCTTTTGTTCTAAATACAACTTCAAACTATTTAAATCTAATTAATCTTATTACTAAATACATCTTACATATTTTTCATTAAGTTCTTTGCATTAACCATGAAAACATTCACTAATCTTAACTTGCTTCTCTTATTTAAGTATGAACTTTTCATTTAGAAAAACAATTATGCCAAGTCTTCCTCCAATTGTGAGACTTTGTAAGTAAATCTGTTTATTCCGTAGTTTATACTTAATTTATGTTACATGGTTATTTATACCAAGACAGACGCAGTTGTGTTTCTTGAGTTAGGTTTTACTTCAACATTCTTTGTTGGTGCCTTTCAAGCTTTTCTTGGAATCCTTAAGTAATCACTTTCATATCATGCAAATTTTAATTCTTTTCCAATATAAATAAGTAAATGACTTGTTATATTAAATTATTGTAGGTTAGGATTTATCATTGATTTTCTATGTAAGGCTATCCTAATTAGGTTCATTGCTGGAGCAGCTATACAGGGAGCAGCCACATATTTTAGAGGAAATGCAACATAGATACACCAAATTACCAAAATACTAGCTAAATTCGTGTCAAGTACAAAACATTCATTTATTTTAGTCAAGTGCAACTTTTAACAATATCACATTACCATAAAACCAATAATTTACTAACCTAAGGTTAAAAAATTCCTAAATTACTGGGAGATACCAAAAGTTTAGAAAAAATAAATCTATGCAAATGTAACTAATCTCTTCCAGTAGGACATCGATGTATGTTGTTGTCGACGATGGAGGAAGGGGACATGATGCACTAGCACAACATTAATGGCAAATACGATGGTGCGAGACAAACTTCACATAGAAAAGGAACAAAGAAGAAGATAACAGTGAACACGAGGATAGGAAAAGAAAACTAGATTTTAATTTGAAATTGTACTTCTAAGAGCCGATCTTAGAAATAGAGATTAGAGGACGATTAAACACTAATCGCTCTCTAAGTATCTTGTTAGAGAGCAATTTTTATCAACTACTCCCAAATTTTCTCTCTATAACTGTCTTTCTGGCGTAGTGATTGTTAGTAATTAGACACGATTATCAATGCTATTTTTAACTTTGTACCGTGGTTAACTCTATTAATGAGACACGTTGCCTAACCTCCATATTATTAGAAAAACTTTCAATACAATAATTAATTTCTTTACGTGGATCCATCACTAATTCTCAATATATGTATTGAACAAGTCATCTAGTGGTACCTTCACTTCTAATACCCCTTGTTATAATAGGAAAAAAGAAAGTAATAGGAAGAAGAACATGTAAGAATTTAATATGATTAAGTCAATGTGACCTACAGACAGATTGAAGTATTTCTATTTATTATAATTCATGTATATATTACTATTTGTTGTTGCATTAAAAAATATATATTTTTATCTTTTAAAATTATAATGACTTATAACTCATCATAATAAATTAAAATATTTATTTCGTATAAACAGGAGAGTAAAAAGTGTAATTTAAGCAAGTGAAAAAGGCAAGCCAAACGAAACACTTAAACTTAAGCGCAAGCCGAGCCATGGTTTTATTAGGCAGCGAAGGCCGGCGGCAATAAACTAAAAAGTAGGCTCTAATTGAATGAAACGCAGCTGTTGGCATCGACTTCCAACTACTCGAAGACCCCTTCTCACAACTGCCCTACCACGCACGCCAAAACTCACCAAAACCGAAATCAACACACATTGGTTAATTAACCCTCTCTTCCTCATGTAATTCACTCTTCTAATTCCTGCAAACAAAACATCCAATATATACCGCATACAATCTTTATTTATATTTACCTACTTAGAGAAAAAATAAAATATTTTTATTTATTTGTTACTATCAAAGTACAATATAATAATACTTATTATAATTTATTAATACTCTCTTATTTATATAAAAATTTTAAGCATAATAAATAAAAAATTTACGTAAGTTAAGTAACTCAAAAGTCAAAAGACATCCATTAATAAAGAATATATTAAAATAAATACTAAATATTTATAACCAAATTGTTAGATTTCTTAATTTGTATTTTTCTCTTTAGACAAATAAATAAGAACAAATAGTATTATTCATTACATAACATATACTAATGATCAAGTCTTATCAAACATTAAAAAATAAAAAGAAATTAAAAATACAACAAAATACTTCTCTAATATTTATTAATTGTTTAATCATTGCACTGTTACCAAGAAATTATGTTAAGGACATTTGTTTCCGAAAATGGTTCACCAACACAACCACAATGTCCCTCACCCCTATTAAAACCCCTCTTGGCCTTCTCTCTCTCTCCATAACACTACCTAGCTATCTAACATCTCTAGCTAATTCATCTAAGCCTACCCTCGTTGTTTATGGTCATGGGAGCCTTCCCTCGTTTCGAACCAATCACCAAATGTAGCACCAAAGACCGGTCAAACCAAACCGTAGCTTCAGACTTAGATGGCACCCTCTTCGTCTCTCGAAGTGCCTTTCCTTACTACATCCTCGTAGCTCTCGAAGCTGGTAGCGTCCTCAGAGCACTACTCCTTCTTACCTCTGTCCCCTTCGTGTATTCCACCTACCTATTTTTCTCCGAAACCGTGGCCATCAAAACCTTAATTTTCATAACGTTCGCGGGGTTAAGAATTAAAGACGTTGAGCTCGTGGCGCGTTCGGTGTTGCCGAGGTTCTATGCGGAGGACGTGCACCCTGACACGTGGCGAGTGTTCAATGCCTTTGGGAAACGGTACATTGTGACGGCGAGTCCGCGGGTGATGGTGGAGCCGTTTGTTAAGACGTTTTTGGGAGCTGATAAGGTGCTTGGAACGGAGCTAGAGATAACAAAGTCTGGGAGGGTAACGGGGTTCGTTAAGGAACCTGGTGTTCTGGTTGGTGAGCACAAAAGAGTAGCAGTTGTGAAGGAATTTGGGCATGACTCACCAGATTTGGGACTTGGAGATAGTGTTACTGACCATGACTTCATGTCAATTTGCAAGGTTTGTATATTATACGCACACTTACCTCTCTCTCTCTCTCTGTGTGTGTGTGTAGAAGTGAACGTCAAACGCTACACTAGCTAGTGAAATTTTTTTTATTAAAAAATGTAATATTTTGTTGTCATGATTTTCAGTGTACGTGATTTTTAATAAAAAATATTTATTTATTTTATCATTAATATACTAAGACTACTTATTAGTAATACTCAAATGGTTTTGCTAATAAATGTCCTTAAGATACAATAAATATTTCATATAAGTTTGTTAACTTCAATTTTAGAATTGAATTTAAGTATTTAAAACGAGTAAATTTTTATTTAAGAACATATTTATTGTATTAAAATTATAAAGGTATAATAAATATATTTTTTTTAATAAAATTTAACTGTTATTGATTCCTTAAATTTAGTTTTAAGGACTGAAATTAATATTTTTCATTTAGTATATTGTATTAAATACTTTTAATCACTTTAAGAAAAATGTTAATCAATGTCTTTTAGAAGTTAAAGATAGTATTTTTGAAAAATATGCTATTTATCATTCTTTTAACCAATAGTTTTTATTTTTTCAATGTAATAAATATGTTATTATAAATATTTGTTTTTTATTTCTTGACAGCCCATATATATTTGTAATTTTATTAGACGGTGTTTTCATTTATTCATTTTCAACTTTCTGTTTAGAAGCGAGGGAGTCAGAAACTGAGCTTTATGAGCTGTGTCTTGGCTCAAAACATTATGATTAGTTAGATTGTCCCCGAATCACTTCATGTTTGGTGAAAGCCTTAAATGATCTTGACATATTGGTTTCCTTCTATGCATAAAGTGCCGCTCTTCCTAAACCTATATCTGTTTTTGTGTATATTTCTTTCGTGGCATAGCAAAACTTCTCCCTTTGTTTGTTCTATCCCGTCTTTTTCCAATTTATTAGTCTCAACTTTTTAAGTGGTCCTTCCAATTTTCTATGGTCCATTTGTGGATACGTCTTATTGCATAGCTTCTGTTTCGCGTTGCTTATGTCCCTGCTTTTATGTTCTCTTGCACAAGTCATGATCCATAACTATTTTGTTTCATACACCACTAATAATTAAAAGATCTCTAATTCGTTACCATCCAAGTATGAACCAAATTCATTTTTTATTGGGAACTTCTGACACTGTCCATGAGTCCCTCATGTGCAACCAATTTTAAATACTCAATTAAGGCCGTACACTTTGTACCTCATGTAAAATTTATGAAAAGTGTAATTTATATCTCTCGGCATATTTTTCCATCATCAATAACAAAGCACAATCCTTATGACATCCCCAACTGACTGACTCTGTAAAACTTTATTTGCCCTTTGCTGGTTTTTGGTTATATCACGGATTCGTGACTTTTTGTTGAGTAATTTTCCTAAAAGCTAAAACATTACAATTTTATCTTCCTTGATCCTCTTATTGATAATTTTCAACGGTAAGTGAACCAACAATAGAACTTCATACCCATCATCTTCCATGAAGAGTTTCCCGGGGATAAGTGCTAAATTTTAGAATAGAAATTTCATATATGTAAATTGTATGGGTGCTTTTAGAAACAACGTAAGTAGTTATTCAATAAATTCTTATGGCACAAGGAGTTCATACTATAAATTAGATAATAAAATTTATTGACATAAGATGAAAAAGTATTATTGAAATAAGCTGATAGCTTATGACAAAAGCTCTCCATAAACCATTCCCTAAGAGGGTGTGTGACAGGCATACTGAGCCATCAGAAACAACTTTTTTAACTATGTCAAGGAAGAAAGAAAAACCAAGAAATGCCACTGGGATTAGCTGTAAGATCCACTAATTGTTATATGTTCTTTCTATTTTTCCCTTGAAAACAAAACCATATCCATTAATACAAGAATAAAAGATGATCCAGAATCCAAATCTAAGTGAAATTTCAATGAAAAAGTCACTAATGCACATTTTTCATTTGCCCAATCTAGTCATCATTAACTATATTTTCCCCTGCAGGAAGGGTACATGGTGCCAAGAATCAAGTGTGAGCCATTACAAAGAAACAAGCTTCTAAGCCCAATTATTTTTCATGAGGGCCGTTTGGTTCAGAGGCCAACTCCTCTAGTGGCCCTTTTGACTTTCCTATGGATGCCAATTGGTATCATACTCTCAATCCTAAGGGTCTATCTCAACATCCCTTTGCCAGAAAGAATTGCTTGGTACAGCTATAAGCTTCTGGGAATCAGAGTCATTAGGAAGGGTACCCCTCCACCACCACCAAAGAAAGGCCAAAGTGGAGTGCTATTTGTTTGTAACCACCGCACAGTTTTAGATCCAGTGGTTACAGCAGTTGCACTTGGAAGAAAAATTAGCTGTGTCACATATAGTATAAGCAAATTCACTGAAATAATTTCACCAATTAAAGCTGTGGCACTGTCAAGGGAAAGAGAGAAAGATGCAGCCAACATCAAGAAATTACTTGAAGAAGGAGACTTGGTTATTTGCCCTGAAGGCACCACTTGCAGGGAACAATTCCTTTTGAGGTTCAGTGCACTTTTTGCTGAGCTAACAGATAGGATTGTCCCAGTTGCAATCAACACAAAGCAAAGTGTGTTTTATGGCACCTCGGTTCGCGGGCACAAGTTGTTGGACCCTTATTTTGTGTTCATGAATCCTATGCCAACATATGAGATCAGTTTCTTGAACCAGTTACCAACAAAACTCACATGCAAAGGAGGGAAATCTGCTATTGAAGTTGCAAATTATATTCAAAGGGTCCTTGCAGGGACTTTGGGATTTGAGTGCACCAATTTAACAAGGAAGGACAAGTATGCTATGCTCGCAGGAACAGATGGAACTGTTCCATCTAAGAAGGCTTGAAATTGGAGAGGGACAAAGTGAAATCCCTTTTGATTCTCTATTGGTCAGGTTGTTTCCAAATCGCTTAGAATCATAAGAATAATAAAATCTGATTGTGTTTATGCCCATAAAAATAACAGTTTATGTATATTGTTATTATGATAGATACAAATTATAGTGTCTGTTGTTGGTTCAGTTCTGAAAACCTATAGTGCATCTTTTTGCTTTAGTGGTTAATGTTCCAAAAAGTTTTTGGCTACAGTGTATGATACTTATGACAAATATAGTACTACTGATAATAAGGTACAAGCAGTAAAGGCACTGCTTTTGGTGTTATCAATTTTCGGGCAAGTCTAGCTACAAGGCTGATATTAATAAATAACTAGTACTACAAACAGCGAAATATACACATGACTAGTTATATGATCCATATGCTACAGTATGGATTCAACAAAACCAATATGTTACAGTATGTATGGCATGTTCTGCTAGCCAAGTTGCATGGAACTATCATCAGCTTAGACAAAAAAAAAAGAGTGTATCGTTAAATCCTCTTACTATTTCAGTTTATAAATCTTCCTGCTTATATAAAAGTGACACATGTCTTTTAAAAAGAGAAAAAGTTAAAAAATTAATTATTATTTTTCAGAACACACAAATGGTAGAAGAGAAAATTCAAATTAATCCAAGCCGTAAAGAAAGAATGGTTCATCATTTTTAGTTTCAGTTTGATAAATTTTCAATTTTCAAAATTACAAAAACATCACACCACTTTTACTTCACAGGAATTTGAATACTGAAATATTATGAAGACAATGAGGCAAATTTATAATATTATCAGAAACATATCAACAAAAAAAAAAAAAAAACTACTACCCTTAAACATGTTACCAAACTGAAGGCAAATTGATCAGTATACAAAGGGTTAATTTAGTTTGTCTACATGACTCACCATATTAAGGAAATCACCAGCTACCTCAAGTACTGTCATTTACACAATGAACAACAGATGCGGAATCTATAAGGTTTTCAACTTTCTTTGTAACTAATCTTAACGTAAGTGTGTATTTGGTAAATGACTAGATAAAATAGAGTATTGGAAAGCTCCTAATAATTGAAGACTGCAATGTATCAAAGCATGTATCCACTTCCACATAGTTTCCCAAATTTCACTGATACTCTTATAATCAGATTCCGTAGGGACTGCTTGAGTAAGTAACAATAAAGATCCAAATGTGGTAACTGTCAACATCAAAACAAGCGCGACAAGTCTGCCACAATAGATAGTTTGCGTACGTAAAAAATTGTATGGGAATATTGGTTAAAATTAGGCAGATGTGAAGTATAATGAGCAAAATGAAATATTTACTCTTCACTAGAACTGAGGCTTTGTTGATGAATTTGAAAAGAAAAAAGAGAGAAGAGTTTGAAGAGCAACCGAGAAGATAAAAAGAAAAGATTAATGCAAAATTCCTTGTAAACATAAAATTGGACAAATTTTAAAAGGTTTATAAACTCTTTTTTTTCTCCATTAAAAACTCTCGATCAAAGATAAATTATCACGCAAGTCTTTCTCTTTTCTTCTTCTAAAAACTAGTACCTCTCAAACAGAGCTTAAAAAAATCACTCTCTTTCTATTTCTTTATTGAAAAAAATAATTCTTTTATCATTAATTTTACTCATGATTAACATCTCCTACTCTCCCAAATAGCATTAATTTTACTCTACAGCCTGTTTTTTTTTTTTTTCCCCTCCTTAGTCTCCTTCTAGGTGCAGTCACATGATACAAATATTTCATTTATTACAGAAGAATATCTGAGATTGATGAATTTAACATCCATTAATTCACACCACTTAATTCGAAAGTAAATTTTTGCTTATAATGATGAATTTAACATCCATTAATATTACACCACTTAATTAGAAAGTATATTTTTTCTTAAAATTTTGTTACGATGCTTTAATTTAAAACTGTAACATTTGGTAATATTTTACTCTAAATTTAACACAAAGAATATAACATTTGTGTGTAAAGGGTAAGAAAGATTTTTGTTATTTGTATTAAATAATAAAGATGCTACTAACGATAATTGAAATTGGAAGATATTAACCATAGATGAAAAAGATTTCGGACTAATCACATAAAAGCATACACTTCAATTCATTCAAGATTGAATCTGACAGTAAAACAAAGAAAAGCTGTAAGCCAATTACAAGCTGAACCTAACCTGAAGGGGTGCCATTTATGGGTGAGATAATGTTCAATTATATAAGAACATGTGGTCCTTCAATTCATTAAAACTAGAGGATTTGGGACCATAGGGTCCTTTTCTATATATGAGATTATTCAATGAGCACGTGGAAATGTCAGAATGTGAATGTGATCTCAGCAAGTTTACTTTGTGTCTGGTTCTGGTACCTTTCCAAAGAAGGATTCAAAATTCAGGAACCAACATGTTTAATCGTTAATTTGCTTCATTTGGATGTAACTTTGGAGCCATCCCTTAGTGTTAGCATCTCGCAGGCGACATTGGAGGCTAATAAATGAGAATTGGTATATTATTATTTGAAAGTATTATATAAACTGAAAACGGAGCGCAAATAAGACTTTTTAGCAGAAATATTATTAAAAAAATAAAAAATTACAGAAATAGAATCAACAACACATTATTTACCAAGATGAACCGAATTACTGTAGCACAAAATGATAATTCAGAATTCGGTTCTGGTTCTCCAGAACCAAATTCTGAATTATTTTTTTTAATATAATAAAATAAAAATTTTATTAATTAAAATATATTTATATTTTATAAAAATAAATATTTATAATATGTTTTTCTAATAAATATTTATAAATATTTTATTAATTATATATAATAAAATAAGTTATTATTTGAATTATGTTTATATTTTTATATTATTTGAAAATGAATAAAAATAATAAATAATTATTATTTTACATATTTATGATAATAAATAATATTTTTAGAAAACAATAATAATTATATTTTTAAAAAGTAAATAAAATAATTAAATAATAAGTAAATTATTTTAGATAATTTTAAAAACTAATTAAAATATTTAAATAATAAATATATTATTTTAGATAGTAATGTTAATGCTTAAATTATTTATACTTAAAAAATAATAATTATATTTTAAAAAATTAAATAAATATATTAAATATTATTCTGTTTATTTATTTATTTAAATACATAATTTTGAGTTAATATTTTTAAATATTAATATGATAAAATGATATTTTGAATAAAAATTTTATTTTTATTAAATTATTTTTTTAAAATTATATTATTTAATATTATAATTTTTAATACCCTAAACCCTAAAACTTTATTATTATAATTTTTAATAAAATATATTTTAAAATAAAAATTTTATTTTTAAAAAGTAAATAAAATATTAAATTATAAGTTAATTATTTATACTTGAGACAAATATTTTAAAATTATCATTTTCATATTACTAAGGTAACATTGATGAATACAAAGTACATTAATAAAGATGATACAAATTTATAACAACATTAATAATTAACTATCTTCGTAATGGTAGTTAGTTTCATAATGAGGGCGACGTCTATAAAATGGTGGGTTTCGTCATTGTGATTATTACTCTGAGATTTCAAGATGAACTTGTGGATAATTTGGATCATCATGAAGGTCTAGTTGTTGGAATGCATTTGATGAATTACCAGGTTCATTAGCATAATCTGATTGGTAAAGAGACTACATGTAAGTTTGTGCTGAAGATAGAGTTGTAAAATTAACTTCAAATAAGTTTGTAAAAAAATCCTCCGATGTTGTTGCAAACAAATGTCTTGTGTTAATTATGTTTGCTTTTGGCGTAATGTTCCGAGGAATTGATGCAGTCTCGTGGTACGACAGTGTGGAAGTCGTACCGATTTCAAATGTGTTGGTAGTCCTTAGTTGTTGGTCGCTTCTCCTTGGATCTTGTAGTAGTAGTGGCACAGATAGGAAATAGATGGAATTGGCAATGTACCATTCCATGTATTCTTGTGTGTGACACAATGGGCCTTGTATTGGATGACCTGTTATTGTCAGCTCACGTCTATTGTTCCATATTTCAATCCATTGAGCATGTCTTGTAACCCAATTTTTATCTTGTCTTCCTCTCATGTCAATTTTGTGGAGGTCATTCAAATTATTCGGGAGAGAAGGGATTTCTTGGAAGAGACGAAACTGTAAGTTGACTTTATCTGTTTGGTGCCATTCAACAATTGCAAAAACAAAGGATGACAGTACATGAAGTCCACAGTTGGATATCTCTATATGCTTCAATAGGTATTGATGTTTGCAAGTCTTGATATGGCGTCCATAAAAACTACAAATAAAGTTAACTTTGTTACTTAAGATGATGTGTAAAAGATAAGAAAATAAATATGAATTCAAATTTTTGTTATGAAGAGTTACTTGATTAGGTTGAATGTGATCAAACATTGATCTGTATCCCACAACATCATTGTGAGGTTTATTTCAAAAATTTAGTACTCTACCCCCGCTCCATCTGCACACGAGAGGGTATGTTGGTAGATTACTAGAAATTGACACAATATATGGCATGCGATACCATGCCCAGGACATTAACAGTGATGAGCAACCACCCATTGTTTTGCTACCAACTTCCGTGGCTCTGCACATTTCCTTGTACAACATAGCTAAACAAGTAGAACCCCAACTATATCGTTTTGTTCTTCTAAGATTAGTTAATAAAGCTAAATACATAAGATGTACTTTGTTACCTATTTTGTCAGGCATCAAAATACCTCCAATTAAACCTAGTATATAAGCCCTACAATGGACGTGAACTTCTTCTTCAAATGGTTCTTCTGGTAATGGCAACATGTTGTCTCTCAGCCACTTTAGTTTTAGCATAAAGCCAATAAGTGACTCTCCCTTGACTAGCACGATACCGAGATATGTGTCACACATTTCCTCCTAGTCAAACATTGTTGGACCAATGACTAGTAAACCATCAACTCTTAGCCCGAGTTGAAGTGCAACATCCTCCAAGGTTATGGTGCACTCCCCTGTTGGAAAATAGAATGTGTAAGTTTCAGGTCTCAACCTCTCAACCAAAGTTATTATCAATGCGTGATCCACCTTAATATGCCTTAGCTTTGCTACTCCAGCAAAACCAAGTTGTTCAAGTATAGGAACAATTAGAGGACTGGGTTCTGGCATTAAATGACAGAAAGATGAAATCATATTTTCAGTTTCTTGCAGTTATTAATAAATTAGTAACATTATATGTAGAATATTGATTTACATATTCAGTTAATAATGCTAATGTGTAAAACTT